ATAACGGGATTTGCGACCCCTGCCTAATGTGTCCACCGGATGTCAATGGGATGTGCGCTGCACACCGCGGGAGAAAGAGACCTCCGATGGACGTCTCACGGACATTCATAAGATTTCGGTATTTAGCGGATATCTGAAGGACGTCTACGGGACGTTTAAAAATTTTTGGAGTCTTCGTTTTTTCGAGAACGTCCGCTGGACGTCCTTTGGATGTGCGCTGCGTACAGCAGAAATCGACGACATCCAGTGGACGTCCCACGGACATTACTCGGATTCCTAGGTCTACCGAGATATCCACGGTGCGTCTTAAGGGCGTGTGAGATTACGGGATTTGCGACCCCTGCTTAATGTGTCCACCGTATGAACATCGGATGTGCGCTGCACATCGCAGGAGTAGGAGACATCCGATGGACGTCTTACGGACATTCATACTACTTCGGTATTTAGCGGATATCCGAAGGATGTCTACAGGATGTTAAATTCTTTGGAGTCTTCGTTTTTTCGAGAACGTCCGCTGGACGTCCTTTGGATGTGCGCTGCATACAGCCGAAATCGATGACATCGAATGGACGTCCCACGGACATTACTCCAATTCCTACGTCTACCGATATATCAACGGTACGTCTTGACGGCGTGTGAGATAACGGGATTTGCGACCCCTGCCTAATGTGTCCAACGGATGTCAATGGGATGTGCGCTGCACACTGCGGGAGAAAGAGACCTCCGATGGACGTCTTACGGACATTCATAAGATTTCGGTATTTAGCGGATATTCGAAGGACGTCTACGGGACGTTTAAATTTTTTGGAGTCTTCGTTTTTTCGAGAACGTCCGCTGGACGTCCTTTGGATGTGCGCTGCATACAGCCGAAATCGATGACATCGAATGGACGTCCCACGGACATTACTCGGATTCCTAGGTCTACCGATATATCCACGGTGCGTCTTGACGGCGTGTGAGATAACGGGATTTACGACCCCTGCCTAATGTGTCCACCGGATGTCAATGGGATGTGCGCTGCACATCGCGGGAGAAAGAGACAGCCGATGGACGTCTTACGGACATTCATACGATTTCGGTATTTAGCGGATATCTGAAGGACGTCTACGGGACGTTTAAATTTTTTGGAGTCTTCGTTTTTTCGAGAAGGTCCGCTGGACGTCCTTTGGATGTTCGCTGCATACAGCCGAAATCGATGACATCGAATGGACGTCCCACGGACATTACTCGGATTCCTAGGTCTACCGATATATCAACGGTACGTCTTGACGGCGTGTGAGATAACGGGATTTGCGACCCATGCCTAATGTGTCCAACGGATGTCAATGGGATGTGCGCTGCACA